AGAATGCAGAAGATCATCAAGAAGATCATACACCCTGACCAAGGTGGATTCATCCCAGAGATGCAGGGATGGTTCAACATACACAGATCAATCAATGTAATACACTATATCAATAGAGCCAAGGACAAAAACCATATGATCATCTCAATAGATGCAGAAAAAGTGTTGGACAAAATCCAGCACACATTCATAATAAAAACCCTCAAAAAATTGGAATATACAATCTAATTCAACAATTTTTTGAGCACATACTACATGCCAGCTACCTTCTAGGTTCCAGAACCATAGCAATGATTGCATTAAACAAAAACCCCAACCTCACAAATCTCATATTCTAGCTGGGAAAGACATAGTAAAGATAGCATCACGTTATCAAAACTCCTATTCGTTTTTCAGTTAATATCTGTTTAGTCAGCTTTCCTGTCACTGGGAAAAAATACCTGACACCTACAACTTGAGGAGAGGTTTACTTGGCTCAGTTTCTACTTGGTTCATTCCATAGTTGGGTGACTCCAAGGTGGAAATGGCATGGTGGAGCGGCATGGATGTTAAAAGCTGCTCAACTTGTGGCAGCCAGAAAGCAAAGAGGGAAAGAAGGATCTGGGGACAGGTATATACCCTTCCAGGTCACACCTGAAGTGACCGGCTCCACACAGGCCCTGCCTTAAACAGTACCCTTGGCTATGAACTCATGAATGGATAATTCACTGATGACTATATTGCCCCCGTGATCCAATCACCTTCACAAAGCCCCACCTCTAAACATACAAGACTTTAGGAGACATTTTAGATCTAAGCCATAATAATATCATTTAGATTTCACTGTCTTTTCCTTCTAGAAATACTTTCTTCACTTGGTTTGTGGATACCACATTCTCTTAATTTCCTGTATGTCCATCTCAGTACATCTTGTTGGTTTCCCCTCATTTTCTTGACTATAAGTTGGTGAATTCCAAAAACTCTTTAATTTTTTTAAACTAAAAATATTAATGAGCTATGAAAGGAAATGCTATTTCCATTAGCATTGAAAACCTTCATCAAGTATCTAGGAATAAACCTAACAAAAGACATGTAAGCCTACTCCACTGAGAGCTATGCACTATCATGGGAAATCTTAAGAGATGCAAATAAACAGAGAATTGTGCCAGGCTTGTGGACTGGAAACCTTACTTGTGGCAAAATTTCAGTTCTTTTTGAATTTTTCTATAGACTCAATGAAATCCCAAATAAAATCTCAGAAAGATTTTTTAAATTAACAAACTGAATAATAAGTTTACATGAAAATGCATACAACTTAAAAGAACCCAAACAATCTTAAAAAAATAATGGTGTTGAAAAACATATTGCTAGATATGAAAATTACAGTAGTAATTAAGATTATGGTATTGGGCTAGGGATGTAGCTCAGTGGCAGAGTGCTTGCCTAGAGTTCATGAGGCTAGAGATTCAATCCCAAATATCAAAAAAAATTTTTAAAGGATTATGAATTTGTGCAAGGATAGATTAATACAACAGTAAACAGAGTGACGGAGCCAGCTGTCACTTGTCAAACAGCACCTGAATGGGGGAGTGAGGATGAAGAAAAAGAAAGACGCAGAGAGAGTCGGGAGCCTCCCAGAGAGACTGCCGCTGTGCTTTTTTAGTCTCCTCCCCCTTTTTATCACAGGTGAGTTTGGTTATTAATCATGACCCTTATCCAAAGACACCTGCTTCCTTGTTCTCTAGTTCTTTGGAAATTCCCCACCCTCATGGGCTTTCTTGTTTCTCGGGTTTACAAAACGTTCATCATGTTCCAGGACAATTTCTGAAGGTAAACATCTAATTTGGCAAGGACACGGTTCCTCATAACATAGTCTCCTTGCTCTATACAGTGGAGGGTAAGATTTAACATGGAGCCTCTATGGCTAACACTGCTCTTCACATCTCCCCCTATTTTATATATTATGATCAAGGTCCCTTGATCACACAGATAGGCTGTGCCTGTCTTAGGTGAGGAATATAAAGAAATCCCTTACCTGTCATGGAGTCAAGAGCATCACAGTACTCTTGCTCTGTCTTAGGTTGGTGATTTCCTGTATTCCTCTTACCCGTCATTGACTACCAGCCTCTGCAGGGAATTACACCATGGGTTTAGGTGGTGTAGTATGTAATTGTAGACTGTGAGTACTTCCAGCCATCCTCATTAAAGAATGCATAAACATCTGTAGTAGCGCCGGAAGGATCATGCATCTAAGAGGCAGCCCTCCTCCAATAATTACTATGGAAATGAGTTACCACGTAAATGCAGATGTAGATGGCAGACCTTTTCTAATTTGTTCGATAAAATCCTGTGCAGCCTGGGCTGCATCAAATTTTAGGGGTTCTGCATTTTGGAGATCTATAATATCCAAATCTAAGAACACATTCGCAAAGCCCTTATCTGATTTTCTGTTCGGGTGACACAATTGCTTATTTGACAATTGAAGTAAATTACATTATAATAATCATAATCTTTCTGAACACTAATATTTCCTACAAGCAATACCTAAGAGAGCATGACATATGCAGTGACATTTCTTTTGGGATGACAAGAATTTTCAGACCAGTCCAAAACATAAGTAGCAAATCCAGTAATATTATATCTCACAGGGGCATCCGCCACACATCTCTTCCATGGAATAGTCTTATTGGAGCATTAAAAGTCGGAGGCACTACACCAGTGGCCTCTATACCCACAGGTAGATGTAGATGCACTCCAGTGATCCCGCCTTTGCATTGATCTACCTGCCTTCCTGCCAGGGTGCGAGCGCTCAGTCTTATCCCATCAGTTCTGTTGATTTTGGAGAAACATATGGGGTTCCGGTTTCCGATCCTGTATAGTTGAACAATCGGACCTCGTTCTTGTCAGGTGCCGCCGGCTCATCCAACAGCCTGGTATTGTTCACCCATACCATTACTTCTCCATTTTTTCAGCTTGTTGGATGTACAACAGGTGGATCAGGTTCATAAGTCCAATAAACCTTCTCATTAAGCGTCATCATCAGATTTACCAGCAGGACAGTTGTCGGGATCATCCTGAGGGGCAGGAGAATTTCCCGTGAAACGGACCAATCCTTCAGGCAGCCACCTGGCACCTTCAGCGTCCTGCGGGAAAACACAAACATGCCCTCGTCCCCATATCAATACTGGGTCGGAGCCACTCCATACACCCATGAGGGGATCCTTCCACCTCACTTGAGCATATGATGATTTAGTTTTAGGATGCCACGGCCGTTCTGCTGCAGTCAATCCATGAGCATCCACAATCAAAAAGTTCAGGATGAAGAGAGCATGATGTAAATAATTCTGTGGGGATAAAGGGTATAACTCCCCCTTTTTTATTTTTTGCAATTGATTTTTTAGAGCACCATGGGCTCTTTCCACAATCCCTTGGCCTTGTGGATTATAAGGGATACCTGTCTTATGGGCGATACCCATCTGTTTACAAAAGATTTGAAAAGCTTTACTAGTATATCCTGTGCCATTATCAGTTTTAAGAATGATAGGGACCCCAGTTGTGGCAAAGCATGTTAAACCATGGGCTATCACATGTTTTGTAGCTTCTCCAGTTTGTGTGGTGGCCATAATAAATCCCGAAAAGGTATCGATACTTACATGTATATATTTCTGTTTTCCATATTCAGCAATATGGGTAACATCCATTTGCCATAACTGACTAGGTTTAAGGCCGCGGGGATTTACCCCATAATGAGGGACAGAATGATGTGTAGGACAGGCAGAACATTGCTTAACTATTTGTTGAGTGGCTTCTCGAGTTATATGGAATTGCTTCCTTAAGCTGTGGCTATTTTGATGATGTAGAGCGTGAGACTGCTGAGCTAATTCCAATTGACTGAAAGCTACTAGCCGTGTAGCCTGATCTGCAAGATCATTTCCCTTTGCCAGGGGTCCGGGAAGCCCAGAATGAGCCCTAATGTGACCCACATAACAAGGACAGGTCCGGGCATGTATGCACCGTTGTATCTGAGCAAAGAGCTCCTGTATTTGATTATTGGCAGCATCAATATAAGCAACTGTTTCAAGCACCTGTAAAGCTTTAACAATATAATGACTATCTGTATACAAATTAAAAGAATAATGGGCCAAAAGTTCAAATACCGCAGCGACGGTGCAAAGCTCAACAATCTGAGCAGAGGCGCGGGCTGTATGAACAATCTGTGGCTTTCCCTGAATACCATATGCCGCAGTACCATTGGAAGACCCATCAGAGAAAACCACTTGAGCATTTTTTATGGGTTCCTGTTTCATAATCTTGGGAAACACCAAAGCATGAATATTAACAAATTGCAATAATTTATCCTTGGGGATATGGTTATCTATACATCCAGAGTAATGTGCAAAAGCAGTGGCCCACATGTCCACATTTTGGAATAGCCAATCTAACTGTTGTTTGGTAAACGGGACTCCAATTAAGGAAGGCTCTGCTCCAAAATATTTTCGAGATTCCTCCCACACCATATGAACTAGGCACACCACAGATTCATAATAGGGAGTTAACACTCTGGCTGGAGAAACAGGCAAATGCAACCAAACCAAGGGACCCTCTTGCCATAAAACAGCAGTGGGAGCATGTGCTGTTGCCAGAACATAGGCAGCCCATCCTCGAGCATAATCTATATATTGAACTTGCTGTTGTTCTATAGCTTGTTCTACCTCACACAAGGCCATCCGACCTTCTTCAGTTAATTTTCTAAGAGATGTAGGATCAGAATCTCCCCAGAGGATATTGAATAAAGGTTTCAGTTCTCCAGTGGAGATTTTTAAATATGGTCTAAGCCAATTAATATCTCCTAACAATTTCTGAAAATCACTCAAAGTGTGTAAATTGTCTTTCCTAATTTGAACCTTCTGAGGTAATATAGATTTGGGATATAACTTATGTCCTAAATAGGAATATGGCAGTTCAGTCTGAACCTTTTCTGGTGCAATCACTAATCCTTGATCCCTCAAACCTTGTTGTAAATGAGCATAGGCTGTTAATAAGGGCCTTCTTGTCCATGAGCTAAAAGTATATCATCCATATAATGAACAATATAGATTTGGGGATATATTTGCCTAATTTTATTTACTGCCTGAGCTACAAATTTCTGACACAAAGTAGGACTATTAGCCACACCCTGAGGCAATACTTTCCAATGATATCTCTTCATAGGCTCCTTAAAATTTGTCAAGGGTACACTAAAAGCAAATCTCTTACAATCTTCAGGAGCAAGTGGAATAGTATAAAAACAATCCTTTAAATATACAATGATCTTATAAGTATTTCTAGGCAAAGCTGGTGGCATAGGCAATCCTGGTTGCAAGGCTCCCATTACTTCCATAGTCTGATTGACTTTTCTAAGATCTTGTAATAATCTCCATTTCCCTGATTTTTTCTTAATGACAAAGATAGGAGAGTTCCAAGGAGAATTAGAAGGAGCTACATGTCCGCTGTTCCTGTACTAACTGCTCAGCAGCTGTAATTTTTTCCTTGGTGAGAGGCCACTGATCCACCCACACGGGTTCCTCACTTTTCCAAGTAATGGGATCCATGGGGAGTACAGGCTGACCAGTGGCCTCCTTTAAAAACACCCTAAGCCTATTTTTGGAGATTGTTGGATCAGCATTAAAGGCTCCTGTATCCCCTGACCTTTAGTTCCCAAGCCCTGATTCGGTAAAAGCCCTTGTTCAAACATTCAGCGGGTGACCTGTTCACTAGGACTATATAAATACACCATTTTTTTCATAATATCTCTGCCCCATAAATTAACCGGCAGCCCCGGCACAATATATGGCTGGAATCTACCCTGATGACCCTCGGCATCTCTCCAAAGTAACACATCACTACTCTGTTCAGTGCTTTGGCTTTGACCTATTCCTTCTAATTGTGTCATTGTTGATTGTTTAGGCCATGCCGTAGGCCATTGGTCTGCAGTTAGAACTGAGATGTCAGCCCCAGTGTCCAGTAGACTCTGAAAATTTCTTCCATCAATGGTCAGGGTAAGCACAGGTCGTTGGGCTCCTGTAGACCGTACCCAATAAACATCTAAAGAGTCGAATCCAACATCTCTTTTTTCTCTTTTTGCTGCTTTATTTGTTAGTATTTGAGGGAGCAACAGCAGCTGCGCTATACGTTGTTCCGCTTGTATCACAGAAATCCCAGTAGGTGAATGAGTCATGATTTTAATTTCTCCAGTGAAATCCCCATCTCTGACCCCAGGAACAACCAAAATACCATTCATAGTAGCGCTACTTCGACCTAAAAGCAATCCCATCATCCCTGATGGTAAGGGCCCATAAACTCCGGTAGGTAGGGCCTGCATCCCCATTTCTGGGGTTAATACTGTGAAGGCGGAGGGACCGAGGTCCAGTCCTGTGCTGCCTGCGGTTGCTCTGAAAAGGTCCTGAACAGATTTCCTTGCTGGGGAACGAATGTTTGAAGTGCCCCATAACATTGTCACGGGGCCTGGGGCGGGCCCCTCCTCCCGTTTCCCTGCGGGAGAATATTTCCCATGGCATCCTTTTTAGATTTACACTCATTAGCCCAATGATTGCCTCTTTTGCATCTGGGACACAGTCTAGGCCCATTTTCTTTCCCTGCATTGTTTGAATTGGCTGGAGGAGTCTTATTGGGACATTGCCGCACCTGATGGCCTATTTGACCGCATCTAAAACAACTCCCTGGCGGACCCGGAACCCTACCTTTGGGATTTCTCTTTTGTTGTTGGAACAACACTTCTTTAACTGTTTTTCCTTGCAAAGCTGCTGCCATGGCAAGGCCCTGAGTATAAGCAGGCCCAATGTCAGCACACATTCTAATATAGTCTGAAATGGTGCCTTTCTAAATGGTCTTAGGGCTGCCTGACAGGCGGTATTGGCATTTTCATAAGCCAGTTGTTTGACCAGTAACAATCCCGCATCAGAATCTCCCAGCAATCTACTGGCAGTCTGCATTAACCTGGCTACAAAGTCTTGAAAAGGTTCATCAGGTCCCTGCCTAATTTTGGATAAATCTTCTGTCTGCCTACCTGTAGAAGGCAGCTTCTGCCATGCCCACTTGGCAGCGGTATTGACCTGTGGATATACTCCTGCAGGAAACAATAATTGATTGGCGAGGTCCGCATATTGCCCTTCTCCTGCCAGCATGTCATAATCAATATCATTTCTATTAGCCTGATTTAATTCAGCTGTTCTTTGACACGGCTCGGAAAATTCTGTTTTCCAAAGGAGGTAATCTCCCCCAGACAGGCATGCCTTAGCAAGCTGTTTCCAATCTCCGGGAGGCAGCGCCTCCGTGCTCAACGATTCTAACATAGCCTGAGTAAAAGGTGCGGTAGGGCCATATTGCGCACAGGCCATTTTTAACTCATTGAGTTGCTTAAAAGACATCAGCTGATGGATTCTGACCATATTCCCTTGAGCGTCAGCTTCCTCAAATACTGGACAAGCTAAATGAAAGCCCTGGGTATCTTCCCCTCTGTCAACCACATGTTGCAGGGTAGCTTGTAATGGCGACAGAGACCGAGAATTGACAAAGGCCTGGGTCCTGGGGGATGTTTAATCATGGCTATAAGAGGGTCAGTTTCTTTCATTAATCTTGGACCTGCAACCGGCGGGGGATCAAGACCAGCGATTATACTAGGAACTATGCCTCCCTCGGCCTGAGCCTTCTGGTCTTCTTCTTCCACCGTTAAGCCTGTCTGCCACTGCTGACAAAGAGACTCCAATCTCTTTTCCAACCTAGTAATCCTTTCAGTCACGTCCTCATTCTCTGGCTGTCTGGATTTTTCAGTTTTCCTGGCCACGGCTATGATGTGGGGGGGGGGCAATCCTCACTGTTATACCTAGCAGCCTCTTCTTCCAAATCATCAGCATCTCCCGGGTTTAGGGCTCCCTCATCCGGAAAAAAACCCTTCCTTAGTGCAGACTCCACATCAGCATACACTGGCGGAGCAGATGGCTTAGTTCCACTTTCTATAGGAGGCGGAGGGACAACCTCGGGAACATCAGCCTTGTCGGGCTCCTCTGAGGAAGGACTTGAGGGTCCTTCAACCCTCTCTCCCTCATGCCGAGGATCCAAACTATCTCTAATTAAAGCCCATAAACTAAAAGCATCTATAGGGACTTTAGTGGGTCCATGACCATCGTAATAGTCCTGAAGTTGCCTTCCCACCTTATTCCATACTTCTAAATCTACTGTGCCTTCTTCAGAGGACCAAGGACAAACTTTCTCTACAAATTCTAAAAAATTACATAATTGTTGACGCCCTACCTTTGCTCCACGAGCGAGAAGCGTATTTTTAAGCATATGTTCAAAAAGCATTCGGCTATTACCATTACCCATCTTGCTACTCCCGAGTGCATTCACCGCCCTTAATTTACTTATCCAAGCTCACGATCCGCGGTGTCCTTCACTATGGTCCCCCGTATTCAGGTCCCTGTTCGGGCGCCACCCGCGACGGAGCCAGCCGTCACTTGTCGAACAGTACCTGAATGGGGGAGTGAGGATGAAGAAAAAGAAAGACGCAGAGATAGAGTCAGGAGCCTCCCAGAGAGACTGCCGCCGTGCTTTTTTAGTCTCCTCCCCTTTTTATCACAGGTGAGTTTGGTTATTAATCATGACCCTTATCCAAAGACACCTGCTTCCTTGTTCTCTAGTTCTTTGCAAATTCCCCACCCTCATGGGCTTTCTTGTTTCTCGGGTTTACAAAACGTTCATCATGTTCCAGGACAATTTCTGAAGGTAAACATCTAATTTGGCAAGGACGTGGTTCCTTGTAACATAGTCTCCTTGCTCTATACAATAGAGGGTAAGATTTAACATGGAGCCTCTATGGCTAACACCACTCTCCACAGTAGAGTAACCAGGGCGCACACACACACACACACACACACACACACACATACACACACATCAAGCCCTCTGATTTACAATAAGAGGAGCAAATGGGCTTTTAAATAAAGTACATAGGCCTTTCGGAGACGTATATTACGTAAACAAAGCTTGACCTCCATCTTATTTCTCATTGCTGGAACAAAATACCTGATACCCACAAGTTAAAGGAAGAAGGTTTATTTTAGCTCAGAGTTTGTAGAGGATTCAGTCCATAGTCAGCTGGCTCCAAGTCAGGACAGCATGGTAGAGGGGCCTTACTGAGCAGAAACAGTTCATGGTGTGGCAGGCAGGAGGCAGTGAGATGTCTTCCTTCTTTCCCTTTTTATTCTATCCAGGCTATAAGCCTATTGTTTGGTGCCACCTACAATCAGGGTGAATCTTCCCAGTGTCCACACCCAGAACTATGGTAAACTGATCAATGAACTAATTTAGTTAGCAAACACTCTTAACCCCTATTCACATACCCTAGATCCAGCCACTTCTGAAAAGCCCCACCTATGAATGCATGAGGCTTTAGGAGTACATCTAGATATAAACCATAACAACCTCTACCTCATAGCACACACAAAAAGGTAATTTAAAATAGATCATTGAGCTGGGCATGGTGGCACATCCCTATTCCAACACCCTGGGAGGCTCAGGCAGGAGGATTACAAGTTTAAGCACAACCTAGGCAATTTAGTGACATTTAAAAGAAACCACACACCTCAGAAAACAAGGGGTTCAAGAGGAGGTTATGGTTTGTATCTAGATGTCTTCTTGAAGCCTCATGGGGGGCTTTTGGGGCTCATGAGTGGAGCTTTTGGGAGATGATTGGATCATGAAGTCCTGATACTCATCAGTCGATTAGTCTGCTGGTGAGCTTATAGCTAAATATGATGTTGGTATGTGAAGCTTGGTGGGAGGAGGTGGGTCACTGGACACATGGCCTGGAGTGTGTATCAGTCAGTGCTACTAGAGAAGCAGATTTAATGCAAGGTATATAAATATATAAGGCTTTACAAGACTGGCTTACAATGGCTGCCCACAGAGCCAGATGTGGAAGAGTACAAAAGGTCTGTCTGCACGCTGGAGATCTGAGGCATCCAAAGATCAGAGTTCTGGAGCTCTCTGGAGTGTTCCCTTCAAGTCCATATCAAGAGGCCAAAGAGTCTGCAGTGGGAGGCTGAAAAGTCTGTGCTAGAAACCAGGAGATGACATCAAAGATGAAAGTGAAGACTGGAGCTTCTCAAAAGAAACAGGGCTGAACCTTCTTTCTTCATTTCTCTTTTATTCTATTTAGGCTACAAGCCTACTGTTTGGTGCCACTCACAACCAGGGTGAGTCTTCTGTATTCAGCAAATCCCTTCAGCCACACCCAGAACTATGTGTGGGAGACTGTAGTATTGATTATGCCCTAAGCAGGCTGTGAAGAGTTAACCCCACAATTGGCTAGTTTATAGAAGTGAGTCTGACCAAAGCCTGTGTGCTGAGGTCAGAGTAACTCACACCCAAATTCCATTCCCAAAACTAAAACCTTCCTACTAGAAGGATGATATTCTAATTACAATCATATATTTTGCCTATTGTTCCTAATTTGAGAATGCTTTGTCTTGTCTGTTATGAGCCTTGTTTACACTAATTTCCATAAAAACCACATATGGCCCTGCCCTTACATGTAGCTCGCCTTTACCCCGATTGATTGCCAATAAAAGTCAGTGCTTAGGACTGGCCAGGGCCTTTGTCAGTTGCACTTGCATTGGTCATCCTGGCACCCCTCTTCCTCTCCTAGTTCTGTATTTTAGTTTTATTTCTCAGGTCTGCACTATATACTGGGCAGGATACTGAAATCTAATTGCAAGGCTCTCCAGTAAACTATAGCTGATCCAATTTAGTTGGGCATTTCTTACTCAAACTGATATAATCAGTTGACTATCATAAAAGGTTATATCTTCATCTCTCCTCCATCAATTGCTCTCAGCCCTGCTACCCTGCCATGGACTGTTTCTTCTCTGCCTTTTCCTTTGCCATGCCGTCCTGCCTTGGAACCAGCAAATTATGGACTGAAACCTCTACAAACTGTGATCCAAAATAAACCTGTCTTTCTTTAATTTGTGGGTGTTAGGTATGTGTCTCAGCGATGAGAAAGTAACTAAGACAGTGGAGTAGGCTAGGGATGTAGGTCAGTCCAAAGGAGCTGGATTCCATACCCAGCATACTATAAAAATGATAAAAGATAATTGACCTAAAATTGAAAGATAACACATAAAGTTCTAGAAAAAATATAGAATAGTTTCAAGATAATGAGTAGGCGACAAATTTTTCCACTGATTTATATCCCTAGCCCCTTTTTATTTTTATTTTTTTAATCTTGAGACAAGATCTTGATAAGTTGCTGTCTCAAACAGACTGGACTTGAATGTGCTAGCTTCCTGCTTCAGTCTCTAAAAGTCTCCCACCATCTTTGGCTACCAAGACTTTTTAAATGGGCTACAATCATAGTAGCCATAATAGGAAAGACTGATGAATTGATCTTCATAAAAATTAAAAACTTTTGTCCACACAAAAGGCAACATTGAAAGTAAAAAGGCAGGTTACAGACTGGTAGGAGATATTTGTGATCCATGTATCTGGCAAAGGATTCATTCCAAATATTCAAAGAACTCCTACAAATCAAAAAACAATAAAATTCAACCAATTTGAATTTATTTTTGTTGTTTTACTAAATAGGAAAAAAATTATACATACAGTTAATAAATGACGAGACTCAGTCAAGTATTTAAAATATATTGACCATCATTAGTTACCAGCACAGCACAAAGTAAAATCACAGTGAGATATCACTAAACTTCCACCAGAATGGCTAAAAGTAAACAACACACAACAACAAATGATGGAGACAATGTGAAACAACTGAAGCACACTTATGTTGCTACTGGGATGTAGATGGTTCCTCTGGAAACTGACATTCCTCAAAAAGCAGAATGTACACACACTGTATCACTTCCACTCAAAGGTTGTATATCAACAAAAATGCATTTCTAGATCCACAAAAAGATACTTAGGGGAATGGTCATAGCAGCTTTATTTATAATACCCTGAAATTGGAAAGTCCAAATGTCCATTTACTGCAGAACAAATAAATATATAAATAACAGGATATCAAGGAACGGAACTCTACACTACAATGACAGAGAACTACTGCATAGTGCAGCCACATGGACGCCTCTTGCACACATGATAAATGAAAGAAATCAGACCTGACAGAGTGCATGTGGAATGATCCATTCAATATGAAGACCACAGCCAGGCAACACTCCTGGTGGTGATAGAAGAGCAGGCACTCAGCCCTGCAGGGGGTAAGGAGGTGGCAGGAAAGGTAGGAAAACTTCTGGGAGCTGATAGCTTTCTGTATCTTCCTGTGGGCAGTTGGTAAGAGTCTATGCATGTGTAAGAGCCTACCAACCTACAGACCAAAGATATGTGCGCTCTATTGTTTGTAACTTATGTCCAAGGATAAAATTGCAAAAATTTAGTCCAACAATATTTATTAGCTTTATTTTTGATTCTAAAATTAGTAAGAACTTCATTCTATAAAATAGATTAAGTGTTCTGATTAACAGAAGAGGTTTTATAGACAGAAAAGGCCTTGAAAAAGGCAGAAACAATGACAAACAACAAATTGGTCCTTTCAGAGTTATTGTACTTGTAAGTTGTGGTGAGAGGGACCTGATAAGGTAACAATGGGCCACTTCAGGCCTTTTTTTGGGTAAGGCTAAAGGCAGAGAGAACTTCAGTGTCATGCCAACTGAAACTGGCCATTTTAGGAAATTTGGCTGTCATCTCTCTAATCCTGATTTCTCCACAAGGTTGATAAACAGCTTAGTTTCAGCTTGGTGATGTGGAACTTTAGGGAGAGGAGCTCAATTTTGAATTTTTGTCTGCTTTGTTGGGTCCTCGTGCAGGGGCTTAGCCCAAAGCAGTGCCCTCATCATAAACTTCATCTTGTTCATGTATACAGCTCAATAATTTTAGTCTATCCCAAGAGTTGTACAACCATCCCCACTATCTAATTCCAGATTGTTTTTATGACTCCAAAAAAAATCACACACTCATTAGAAACTAACCCCTATTCCCCACTCCACTCAGTCCCTGGCATCCACTTATCTTCTTTCTATTTGTATGGCTTCGTCTATTGGGAATATTTCATGAAAATGGAGTCATACAACATGTGACCACTTACAAGTGGTTTTTTTAGCATAAGATTGTTGAGGTTCATCCACACAGTAGCATGAATCAATACTTCAGTCCTCTGTAATGCTAATAAATATTCTATTGTATTGGTAGAGTACATTTTTTTATCCACACAGCAGTGGATAAATATTTTGCTTGTTCCCACTTGTGGCTATTGTGAATAATGCTACAATGAACATTTATCTCCAGGCTAACATATAT